GAAGCGGCGGGGAAGCGGCGGGGCCGCCCCTCAGGCCGCCTCCAGCCCTGAGGGGACAGAGCGCGGCCGGGCCCGCCCTTCCCGCCTGGAACTGCGGAGCTGGGAATGGCGGCGGGGCCTGAGGGGCCGGGAACGGGCTCAGGGAGCCGGGATGTGCAGCGACATGCAATGGAGAGGGCCAGGAAAGGAACACTTCCAGGGATCCAGGGGCAGCCCCAGCTGCTCTGAGCACCCTGTGCCAGGGCCTCTCTCCCAGCCAGGAATTCCCAATTCCCCGTATCCCACATGGCCAGGGACACACCCGAAGGCTTCGCCTGCACAGCTCCAAAGATCCCTGTGTTTAGCTCGGCACCGACGTTTGGATGAAAGCTGCAGCTGGGAAATGTAATTTGGGTATAAAAACCTCGCAGCCCGAGAGAAAGTCACCCCAGAGGGGAGGAAAAAGGATATTGACATTTATAGAAAAATCATTCATTCTTACTTTTCATCCCCAAAACCAAACTCCAGCCTTTAAAGTACCAGTGCCGCTTTAAAATTTAACAGGGTAATGATCACAAGCCGTAATTCACGAGGGACAAAAGCAAGACATTTACAGACATTGTCTTTAAAATGTAAAAATCTAATTTATTTTCTGGGTTTTAAAAGCTGCACCTTCTCACTACTCCTTGTGAGTGACACCTTACGAGAATTTAAAGCTTTTTCCTTCTTAAGGATTTACTTCTCAATATTTTATCGCTGAGATACAGTTGAAATTCATCACATTTTTTACCTTGCTCAGGTTTTTTCCTCTTTCTTTTTAAGGTGTTTGGTCTTAGCAAGTTTTTGAGAGTGCAAAAGTGCACAATCTCCATAAATTCTTCAGCACTATTTTGTTTGAAGTAATTATTATTATTTTACAATGGTCAGGTAATCAGTCCCTGCCTTTGCATGCCGTAAACAGTGAGAGGTGCTACAGTCACATGTATCTCACTCGACAGCATATTCAAAATAAACTGTGGTGTTTGCAGCCCTTTAATTTTCCATATTCAACATTTCTCCATTGCCAATTAACAGTTTGTCTGGAATAATAATCCCTGAGGTATTTTTGCAGTGCTCTTCTCAGTGCACTCTCCTTTCCCTGCATATCAAGATGTCAAATACCCTGAGAAGAAATTATTTTCAATGTCAGGCTCATATTAGTTTGGAGTTAAGATTGTTGGGGCCAAACCATTTCAGCCCACAAGTGTGGCAAAAGTTCAAACTCACAAGAGGATTTGTTTTCCAAGGATGACAGCAGAAAAGACAAAACATTCCTCCTTGGAAAATGACTCTCTCCAAGCCCTCCCAGCCCCATCCTGGGATCATCAGATCCCTCAGGGCTCTTACAAAACCAGGTACAGCATCAACTCAATCCCTGTTTAAAATAACCAAAATCACAAACAAAAAAGAGGAAGAAATTTAATTGCAGAAACAAATATTAAAATCAAACAATAAAGCAGTCTATGAATAGGCAGAAGCCAAACAGCTCAAGGCAGCAAATGCCAGAGCATTTCTTAAGTGCAATTTCTTGGTTTTGCACCCCCCGTTTCCTATTTTAATTCTATCACTAATTTGATAAGGTGGCTTTTATGAAATGACAGAATTCTTTCAGATATTTGAGTCCTGGTGGTGCTCAGCAACCTCAGCAGGACTGGAGCTGTGTCAGAGCTACCTTCTGAAGCTCTGGCACGTCAAAAAAGCGGGACTGTGAAGAGGCTTAGATTGGGATTAAATATGGCTTTTGTATCCAGAATGCAAGGAATAATCCACTCATCCCACTGTGGAGTATTTTAAAATCTGCAAGGTATAAAATATGCAAAGTTTCAGAAAATCTGAGATTGTGTTTCAGGGGCTGCTGAAGGCTTGCTCTGTGCCTTTAATCTGCAGCACAGGCAGGGAGTTTTGCTGACTTCCTATGCAAAGACAGTGCCACGAGACAGATCAGAAAGGCAGGGATTGCTCTTTCACAGTAGCAATTTCAGAACATGAAAGCACAGTATCTACACAAATTCCTGTGCCTCTGAGGAACAAAACCTCAGAACTTCACGAGTCCCCTTTGATTTCTGAGGTGGCATTCCCAGTATCCTCCTCAAAACAAACATAGGCTTCTCCTCTGGAGGTGAATTTGATTTTCTCTATCTCGCCCCCACTGTTGGTTGGCTTTTGGAAGTGAATTTCTATCATGTCCTGCACACTTTCTTCATTCTCTTCCACCTCTGGGATTTCTTTCAGCAGAATGGTCTTCTTGGAAACCCTGCAGTATGCCTGGGGAGGAAAGAACAAACCAGGATTATGCATCAGCTGTGCATCCAAAGGAACTACCAGAGATGGGAATTAAATTCCTCGCTCAGGCGTGGCTGGGATCTCTGGCAAGGTGAAGACTTTAATAGTGGGAATTTCTCTGGGAAGAGCAGGAATCCTGGATTCACACTACAATGGACCGTCTGGAGGGGCTGTGGAGGAGCAGATGAGGGCACTTGGTTTGTTGGAGAGTGAGAGGAGACTAAGCCCAGTCTGGAGCTTCCTCCTGCGGGGCAGCTCCGATCTCTGCTCTCTGTGACCCAGGGAACAGCTGGAGCTGGGCCAGGGCAGGTCTAGGTTGGATTTTAGGGAAAGGATTTTTCCCCAGAGGGTGCTGAGGCTCCCCAGGGAATGATCACATTCCCAAGGCTGCCAGAGCTCCAGGAGCATTTGGACAGCGCTGCCAGGGATGCCCAGGGTGGGATTTTGGGGTGTCTGGGCAGGGCCAGGAGCTGGATCCACGATCTTCTGGGTTCCTTCCAGCTCAGGATATTCCCTGATTCCATAATTCTGAGCCCACACCTTAAGTGGTGTGTCCTGCACTCCTTAATGCAGCCACACTCTGGATTTGGGGATCTCTGACAGCAGCAGCCCATAAAATAAAATCCCTGCCAGGACTCGCCCCAAACCTGCAGAGAACCCTGCTGGGTGTCTGCACACTGCAGCCCATGCCTTAATTACAAGGGCCTAATTATATACACAATGCTGACCTGATCACCATCTACTCATAAAGCAGCAGACAACTGGAGGGAGAATGTGATGAGCCAGCTCTGCGTGACAGAGGCACAGTTTGGGCTGAATGAAGGAGTGAAATCAAGGAATGAATAAGCAAATGTTGCATTTGCTGGGACTCTGGGATCCTGACAGAGTTTTGTGACTTTGGAGAACTTTGTGCTCAACCTCCTTCCCAAACAGCCCAGCACAGCTATGTGGGGAGTGCTGAGATAATTCCATCAAGGAAAGACAAGCACAGCCTTTAAAAATAAATTACAGCTTCCACACATGAGCTCAGCAGCCTATTTCACACTCACACTCGCTGTTCAGTTCACACAAAAGGAGTGAAAATTCTGCCCATTCTCCCATTTCCCACTTATCTGTTCTGTCAGCCTGGAGTAGATTCTTTTACCTGAAACTTCTTCAAGTGAAAATCAAAATCTGGGGAGACAGCAAGGATGAACCACCTGCCCTCTGTACAGAAAGGGTATTTCGTATGTCCCACAAAGTTGTAGCTCACTGTAAGAGAGCAAGAAAAAAAAACCCCAGTTAATTATTTAATATAATTGAACCAATATTTTATAAACATTTCAAAGACCAGACTCATCTTTGTGGATGTAGAAACTGAAGGAGGATGGAACACTTGTAGATTCTTCATGTGCATTCTGCAAAATGTTTATTTGGCACTTCCAAAAAAAAAAAACAGTAACATCATTAAATGCTCACAAAAGCTCTGAAATAAATCTAAAACAGCTGCTCTAAGTGGAAGTGGCTCCACTGATCATGGAATTCCTTCCAGTTGGGCAATAGGAATCCAACTTCACTGTCATGCAACAGGAGCTAAAATCAAACACTTTCCTGATTTTCTGTTTGCAATGTGAGTGTCTGGCAATGCAGAGGAAAAAAAACCAGCTTTTTTTGAGAAGTTCTGAAAGAAAGTTCATGAACTGGGAGCAGGTTATGTTTGCTCAAAGAGGATGTAATGAAAAACTGCTTTATTTCCCCACATCTCCGAGGGATCCATGAAATCCCTGTGGGAAGAGTTTGCAACACTCAGTGGTTACCCCAGAATGGACAATTTGGCCTGAATTTGGGTAACAAAATATTCCAGACTCTACCTCCAGGTTTGAGGAATGTGATGACAGCTGTCCCAGACTCCTTGTTGTAGGTCACATTTTCTATTTCTCCTCCTCCTTCTGCCTGCTTAGTTTTGTAGAAATGCAGCTCCAGTTTGTCTCTCATCCAATCTTCAGGAATGGGAAGCTCAGGGATTTCTGAAACGTTGATCTTCTTTCCAGAGATAGTGACATGGAGCTAAAAACATCAAATTTTTGTGCATTTTGTGACTGAAAACACTGGAGAAAAAAGAAGAGCCTACAGCATTTAAAGAACTCAGATGTTTAGAGCTGCCTATTTCAGTTGTTTACCTCAAAATGGAATCCCATGTCAAGTTGAAAAGACTCCACTGTCACATTTGCTGTTGTGTTGTCCAGGTTCACACAGTGTTTGCTCATCTCTGTCAGCCTCTGGGCAACTGAGAGAAATCAGATGTGAAAATCATTGTTTAATCATTGTAAACCCCAAATTATTCCCCAGTCTCTTAAAAAAAAAATCTCCCTTTGCATCAGTAAAGGATAAATAAATAATAATTAGGCATCCAGATCCTAAGCATCCATGTCTACTGCCATAAAATCTCTGTGGTTTTATGTAGGCCAAATAATATACTAACAAAATATTGTATCAACTTTAATAATAATGATCAATAAATAATATTATTAAAATAATATACAATAAATACAGCAAGGGCATTATTAATTATGCATATAAAAACAGATTTTGGGTGAGAATAGTAAAACTTTTAAGCTGTCAAAAGATGCTCTTATTGTATAAAATATTAACAAAAGGTTTTTTTCCCATTCCATTCAAAATACCCTTGGGGGAAAACCACACCACTACCAGGTGAAATATGTAAAAGATGTTAGTTTTATAATTAAAATACACATCCTACCTTCTTCATCTTCAAAAGTCAGCAGTGCCTGGTTCTGATTGAGTTGGAAGGGGACTTTTGTGGCTGCCCCAAAAACACAGTGGGTGTCCATATCCACATCTGCCCCATCAACCTTCATCTCTTCCAGGTGAATGAACTTCAATTTCATTTCTGCCACATTCTTTTTAATCTCTAACTTTAGAATTGACACAGGAAAAAGAAAATTTGAAAATTACCAATGCTGTGAGTATTTTTTATTCCGCTGCCTTCCGTGTAATAAATGTCTGCTTGTTTTCATTCCTCTCTGCTTGTTTTCATTCCTCTCACACTTTCAGTCCCTCTTGGGTTTATTTCCATATCCTCTGCCTGCTTCAAATTGTCTTGCCAGGGAGAAAAGGAATTCCAGCTTCATTTTATGTTTAAATAAGTAGAGGTTCAAATGCTGAACAAGTGGCCCCAACAGTTTAAGAGGGGCAAATTCAGTGGGGAGGCTCAGGTTTCCCAGAGAAGCTGTGGCTGCCTCTGGATCTCTGGAAGTGTCCAGGGCCAGCTTGGACAGGGTTTGGAGCAACCTGCAATAGTGGGAGGTGTCCCTGGGCTTTAGAGATGGGATTTAAAGTCACTTCCAACCCAAACCATTCTCTGAAAATAAAAATCTGCCTTCCTAAAAGACAAATTTCCAAATATTTCACTTCCTTTACCGGATTCTTCTGGGACTTGAATTCTTCCATGTCTTCTTTGAGCTTTTCAATCTCTTTCTTCAGCTCAATGTTTTCCTGGTTTAGCAGGTTGAGTTCCTTCTACAGGCCAAAAACAGGAAACACAAAATTAAACACTTAAATAAGGACAGAAATATATTTCAGCACAATCTGGGCAGTTTCTGCCATGCTGCTGCTCTTTCCTCTTCATGTCCTTCTCCTTCCTCCTGTCTGCTTTGTAATTCCTTCAGAACAATGAATCCTGCTTGGACATAGAGTTCTGTAATCCAGGATTTCCTGGACAGGGAATGTGAGAGGATGAGAAGGAAGCAGAGATGTTGTCAGCTCCAGCCAGCCACAATCAGCAGGTGCAAAGCCTGACAGTGATAATGACCTTTCCTGGGTATAAATCCAAACTTTTATGATTAAAGAACCAAAATCAGCTTTCAGAAAAATCTCTCTGAGTGTGTTTAAGCTATTAATTATATTTGAACAGCTTGAAGTTGTAATTCCTCATCTGCAGTTTACCAAAGCTCACTGAAAGCACCTCCTTGGCAGCCTGTGGAACCTTCTGCTGCTCCTGCACATGGAATATTGAGGGAATGAACCAAGGGGCTCTGGAACCAAGCAGTTCTAGAAGGAAATATCTTCAATCAGGGCCTGGCTCTTACCCAGCTCACTGGGCACTTAAGAAATGCTGATCCTTTGGGTGCTGTGACCTCTCATAGAACAGGGGGTTGGCAAAGCAGTGGAATCATCCCCCTGAGCTTTATCCACTTCACCCAGACCTGAAACTCATCTGTAGGGGAGAATCTTGGAAGAGGAGGATTGGTTTTGGCAGGTTTCATCCCAAAATAGATTCAGTTTATTGCACTGGTTCTTTGCCTGCCAGTGAAAAACTAAAGTGCAGCAAAAAATATGTGGAACATTCGACCAGGACAGCTTGCACACTGGTAAAGCCATGGAAACTGGGAATATTCCTCTCATTTTCCTAATCCACACCTCCTTCCCACCCCTCCAAACACCACCAAGCCTCCTCCATACCTGAAAGTCTGTAATTCTGTCCTTATGCTGTTTCTCTTGCTCCTTCAGCTCTGTCAGCTTCTTCTCTGCTTCATAATATTCTTTATTAGCAACTAATCCGGAGACAAGAAGGTCACATTTTACATTTTGAGCCTCTTTAACTCTTTCCTGGATAGCAAAAAAGAAAAATATTTTAAATTTTATTAAGATTTATTTCTGCAGGAACAAACGAAACCTTGAGTAAGGCCTTTGTATTTATTTACTTTTAACACTTTGGGTGAATATTAAACTTACAAGAGTGGGATCAACACAAAGTGTTGAAGAACAGAACAAGTTAAAGATGTTGTAAATGTGGGGGGTTTGATCTGATCTTAGAAGCATGCAGTCATCTTTATCTCCTGGCAAATTTCTATGATTCCATGTGCTTTACAGAACTTGCCTTCCACATCCTCAGCTCTTCCTTCAATTTTTCCATCTCTTCCCTGGATGTCCCAAGTGGATCAGCAGATACCATACTCTGCAGAGAGAAGAGGAACCACATTGGTTTTATCCTCTGTTGGGCAACAACTGAGACACCCCAAACAATTAAGAAAAAAATCTAAAAAATTTACAAGTTTAAACAAAAAATTTAAAAAATCATTCACTTACATCAAATCATTGAATTATTTTAATGGCTGGACAGGACAAAAATCTACTAAATTGTAGATGGCCAGCCATTATTATTTGCTAATTATCCAACTGCTAAAACCCACAGGTTGATATTTAGGTAACTCATAAATCAAGTTGTCTCCATGTTCTCCCACACAGAACAATGCCCCTCAAACCCACAAATGTTTAATTCTGTGCTTTCTCAGCAGCTCCTCCAGGAGGAGATGTCAATAAAAAAATAAATAAAAGTGAGAATGGGATTTTGACCTTCCAAGCTTGGAGAGATTTGGGTAATTTTGGGTAATTAAAGGTGATACCAGGAAGGTGATAAAAGAACCATTTCAGAATTGAAATTCAGGACAGAAGTTCACAAGGGCAGGGAAACAACAAAGCCCAAGGAGAGGGGAAATCTCTGTTCTGTTTTGTTTCTATGGCTGCAATATTCTGCAGGAAAAAATAAAATAAAATCCAAAGAGATCTGCTGAAATATTCCCTCCCTTTTTACTCAAGATCACTTAAAGCTTGAATGAGAACCATGAAATTTAGGCACGGAAAAGGTCTAAATTAGATAATCCATGGAAAAGATCTGAATTAGATGATTTTCACAGTTCTCCTGGTAATGCTGGGTATTTCCTAAAAATCATAAAATATAAAGTATTTCTTCCAGTTTCAAATTAAGCAACAGGGTAATACCCATCTGTGTCATAATTAAAATGGGAAAAATATTCCTTCACTCCAGGGACTGACTGCAGAGAATAAAAAGGATGCATGTGCCAACAGCTGGAAGACAATAAGAAAAAGGATGTCTGTTTTTTAATAAAAAAATAATTTTACACAACAATTTCTGAAAGAAGAAAAAAAATAACCAAGAAAACACAAGAAATGCCAGAGAAAGTCCCATGAATACCACTTAAGCACTGCTGGAGCTGATTCCGAGGAAAAAGGAAATTCCCCTAAAATCCTCCATGAAGACAGATGAGCAAGAGAGGCAGGACAGAAAGTTCTAAGAGAATCTGTAATGCAGAACCTTGGGAAATGGGATTCTCCCTATGGAAACAGGAGGCAGAAATGAGCAATGTCCCAAGTATTAAAAGGTGGAAGAAGGTGAGACAAGCAGAAGCAGTGGTAGCACAAACCTTCAGTCAGGGATACAAAAGTCAAATACGGATTTTACTCCCAGGCAGCACATCAGGAAATACTTACAAAACCATTGTCTTTTAGAGATGATGGGGGGCTTGTAACATCCATGGAAACCTGAGGGAAGAAATGACAACACTGTGTGTATTGATTGAGGATTTTTGATGCAATGGAATATCAGGAATACCAGAAGCTGTGCTGAGCTGAAAGAATTTTTAAACATAAATGTGTAATTTCATAGGCAACAGGTATTGGATATGTGAAGCCTCTTTCCTTCCAAGGAAATAGAAGCCAGAGAGTGATGTGAGGAATTCTGCGGGGGACAACTCAACTTTGCTCTTCTGGTAGTTCTGTTTTTACCTTTATGCTACTTTTGTGCAGTTACACACATGGGAACAGCCTGTACATTTTGTGCTTGAGAGACTGGAGAAAAAAGGGACCTCAAAGCCCCTTCCAGAGCCTGAAAGGGCTCCAGGAGAGCTGGAGAGGGACTGGGGACAAGGGATGGAGGGACAGGACACAGGGAATGGCTCTTATTGGGAAAGAGGAGATTTGGGTGGGATTTTGGGAAGGAATTTCTGCTGGGAGTGTGATGAGGAGCTGGAATGGATTTCCCAGAGCAGCTGTGGCTGCCCCTGGGTCCTGGAAGTGTCCAAGGCCAGGCTGGACGGGGCTTGGAGCAGCCTGGGACAGTGGAAGGTGTCCCTGCCATGGCAGGGATGGCTCTGGATGAGCTTTAGTGTCCCTTTCAACCCAAACCATTCTGGGATTCTACAAAACCTGCTTAACACAAATGGAAACGCTTTCACACAGCAGATAATTTGAAAGCTGGAATCTGTTGCCACAACATTTTGTGGAGGGAGATAAAAAGGAATTTGGGGAAGTTCCCAGGCCAGTGACCAGGGGGAGATCCCAAGGTGAAAAGGCTCCCAAGCCAAACTGTGGCTGCCACGGCAAGGTTTGATCCTCTAAGATTTAGGCTGAATACTCCACAGGTCAGACACTCTCTGACCCTAAAATCCCAGCTGGAGCAGCCCAAATTCCCGACCCCCTCACCTCAGAATCCTCACCTTAATTCTGACCCGACACCGCCGAACCTGCTACACCCAGAGGCTTGAAACTTAGGTTATGAATCCCGGAATCACTTTCTGCTTTGGATCGAGCAACCAGAATTCAGAAACTTCTGTACAGTTTCCTGGAAAGAAAAAAAAAAATAAAAAAATAAATAAATAAAAGGGAAGTGAAAGCATTAATGATCAGTATCTTCCCTTGGTTTATCCAGACTCCTCCACGGGATCCGAGGGGCTCCCTCACCGCTCACCTCTGGACGGACACGGCCGGGGCCGGGCTGGGGACGCGACCCCCGGTTCCTCGCAAATCTCCGGAGCCCTGCCGGGGCCTCCTTTCGCTTTCGCTTCCCGGCCGCGGCGGAGGGAGGGGCCGCAGCCCGGCCGGCCCCTCACACACCCGGG